TACCAGGGAGGATGAGATGGAAGTATCCCTTGAGCGTAAGAGGTCAAGGCTGCAGTGAGCTGAGAATGTGTCACTGCCCTCCAGCCTGGGCAACAGAGGAAGACCCTGTCTCAAAAAAAAAAAAAATAGGTAAACGTTCATGACCTTCTTAGATAAGACACTGAAACCACAAGCAAAGTAAGAAAAAGTAGGTAACTGGACTTTGCCAAAATTAAAAACTTTTGTGCATCAAAGGACACTGTAAGAGGATGAAAAGACAATCTACAGAATGGGGGAAAATATTTGCGAATCACAGCAGATAAGGGTCCAGAGTTCCTAATATACAAAGGACTCTAACAACTCAACAACACAAAGACAAAAACCCAATGTAAAATGGTTCCGAATAAACCTTTATCCAAAGAAGATGCCCAAATGGTCAATACCATTAGTCACTAGGAAAATGCAAATCAAAACCACAGTAAGACACCACTTCACACTCTCTAAGGTGGCTATAATCAGAAATAAGAAAAATATCAAGTGTTGGCAACAATGTGGAGAAATGGGAAGCCTCCTCCATTGCTGGTAGCAATGTAAAATGTTCCAGCCACTGCGGAAAACAGTCTGGCGATTCCTCAGTAAGTTAAACATAGACAACAGTGTCTGAGCCAGCAATTCCACTCCTAAGTACACACCAAAAGAGTTGAAAATAGGTATTCAAACAAAAACTTGTACATGGAATGTTTGCAATGGCACTATCTATAATATCCAAAAGGTGGGCCGGGCGCGGTGGCTCAAGCCTGTAATCCCAGCACTTTGGGAGGCCGAGACGGGCGGATCACGAGTTCAGGAGATTGAGACCATCCTGGCTAACACGGTGAAACCCCGTCTCTACTAAAATACAAAAAAAATTAGCCGGGCGAGGTGGCGGGCGCCTGTACTCCCAGCTACTCGGGAGGCTGAGGCAGGAGAATGGCGTGAACCCGGGAGGCGGGGCTTGCAGTGAGCTGAGATCCGGCCACTGCACTCCAGCCTGGGCAACAGAGCTAGACTCCGTCTCAAAAAAAAAAAAAAATAAATATCCAAAAGGTGGAAACAACTCACATGTTCATCAATGGATGAATGGAGAGACAAATGTGATCTATCCACACAAAGGAATGCTATTCAGCCATAAAAAATGAATCTAGAAAACTGGGTGAAAGAAACCAGAAACAAAAAGGCACAATTTGTATGATTCCATTTGTATGATGTGTTCAGAATAGGTAAATTCAGAGACACAGAAAGCATATTAGTGGTTGCTAGGGGCTGGGGATGGGGACAGGGAAAAGGACTGTTTAATGGGTATGGTTTCCTTTTGGAGAGATGAAATGTTTTGGAACTAGTCAGAGGTGGTGTGTGCACTGCACTGTGAGTGTTCCATGATGGGTGCACTGCATTGTGGGTGTTCCACGGTGGGTGCACTGCATTGTGGGTGTTCCACGGTGGGTGCACTGCATTGTGGGTGTTCCACGGTGGGTGCACTGCATTGTGGGTGTTCCACGGTGGGTGCACTGCATTGTGGGTGTTCCACGGTGGGTGCACTGCTACATTGTGAGTGTTCCACGATGGGTGCACTGCTACATTGTGAGTGTTCCACGATGGGTGCACTGCATTGTGAGTTCCACGGTGGGTGCACTGCATTGTGGGTGTTCCACGGTGGGTGCACTGCATTGTGGGTGTTCCACGGTGGGTGCACTGCATTGTGGGTGTTCCACGGTGGGTGCACTGCATTGTGGGTGTTCCACGGTGGGTGCACTGCATTGTGGGTGTTCCATGATACTACTGAAATGCATATTTTAAAATGCTTCATTTTATGATATGGGAATTTTACCTCAACAAAAATCATTGAGGTAGCATAATTTCTCTATATCATTATTATCTTTTTTTTTTTGAGACAGAGTCTCGCTCTGTCGCTCAGGCTGGAGTGCAGTGGTGTGATCTCGGCTCACTGCAACCTCTACCTCCCAGGTTCAGGCGATTCTTCTGCCTCAGCCTCCCGAGTAGCTGGGATTACGGCACACACCACCAGACCCAGCTATTTTTTGTATTTTTTGTAGAGACGGGGTTTCACCATGTTGGCCAGGCTGGTCTTGAACTCCTGACCTCAAGTGATCCACCCGCCTTGGCCACCCAAAATGCTGGGATTATAGGCGTGAGCCACCGCGCCCGGCCTCTCTATCATTATTTTTCAGAATTGTTGTAGTTATTCTAGTTCATCTTTCCATTTTAATCGTGAGAACTGCTTGTCTGTATCTTCAGAAAATCTGGCTGAGATTTGTACTGGAATTGCATTAAATATATAAATCAACACGGCAAAAATCAGGATCTCCACTGTTGAGTCCAAAACCCAGCAACACGGCATATCTCTCCGTTTACCTGGGTCTTCTTTGATACTTTCATTAACACTTCATTTTTTAAAATTTCTGATTCTAACTGTACATTGCTGGTAGAAATACTGTATTACTTTGTTCTTGCACTGCTATAAAGAACTACCTAAGACTGGGTAATTTATAAAGAAAAGAGGTTTAATTGACTCACAGTTCTGCAGGCTGTACAGGAGGCTTCAGGAAACTTACAATCGTGGTGAAGGGCAAAGGAGAAGCAAGCACATATTCATGCGGCAGCAGGAGAGAGAGAACGAAGGGGGAGTTGCTACAGACTATCAAACCACCAGGTCTCGGCCGGGCGCGGTGGCTCAAGCCTGTAATCCCAGCACTCTGGGAGGCCGAGGCGGGCGGATCACGAGGTCAGGAGATCGAGACCATCCTGGCTAACATGGTGAAACCCCGTCTCTACTAAAAAAAAAAAAATACAAAAAACTAGCCGGGCGAGGTGGCGGGCGCCTGTAGTCCCAGCTACTCGGGAGGCTGAGGCAGGAGAATGGCGTAAACCCGGGAGGCGGAGCTTGCAGTGAGCTGAGATCCGGCCACTGCACTCCAGCCTGGGCGACAGAGCGAGACTCCGTCTCAAAAAGAAAAAAAAAAAAACCACCAGGTCTTGTGAGAACTCTCTCACCAGACAGCACACGGGGATGGTGCTAAACCATTAGAAACCACCCCATGAGGCCAGGCGTGGTGGCTCACGCCTGTAATCCCAACACTTTAGGAGGCCGAGGCGGGTGGATCACGAGGTCAGAAGATCGAGACCAGCCTGGCCAATATGGTGAAACTCTGTCTCTACTAAAAATACAAAAAAAAAAAAAAAATTACCTGGGTGTAGTGGCGGACGCCTATAGTCCCAGCTACTCAGGAGGCTGAGGCAGGAGAATTGCTTGAACCCAGGAGGCGGAGGTTGCAGTGAGCTGAGATCGGGCCACTGCACTCCAGCCTCAGAGATAGAGCGAGATTTTTCTCTCAAAAAAAAAAAGAAAGAAAAAGAAAAAAGAAACCACCCCCATGACCAATCACCCCCACCCGGCCCCACCTCCAACACTGGGGACCACAACTCAACATGCGACTTGGGTGGGGACTCAGAGCCAAGTCATGTCAAACACAGTGGATTTTTGCACGTTGACTTTGTATATTGCTATCTGACTAACCTCACTTATTCATTGAATTTGCTTTTTTGTAGATTCCTTGGGATTTCTATATAGACAATCATGTTGTCTGGGAATCGGGACGTTTATTTCATTTTCAATCTGTATGCAAATAAATCTCTTGTTTTATTTTACTGGCTAATACTTCCAATAGATTTTTTTTGTTGTTGTTATTGTTTTTGTTTTTTGAAACAGGGTCTCACTGTGTCACCCAGGCTGGCGTGCAGTGGCATGATCTCGGCTCACTGCAACCTGCACCTTCTGGGTTCAAGCAATCCTGCCTCAATCTCCTGAGGAGCTGGGACTACTGGCACGCACCACCACGCCCAGCATTGTTTGTTTGTTTGTTAGTAGAGATGGGGTTTCACCACCTTGGCCAGGCTGGTCTTAAACTCATGACTTCCAATGATCCACCCGCCTTGGCCTCCCAAAGTGCTGGGATTACAGGTGTAGGCCACCGTGCCCGGTGGGTAAATGTTGATAATAGGGGCAGGAGTGGATGTGCTCATCCTGCTCTGGGTCCTGGGAAAGGAGTCTCTCACCTCAGTACAGCGCTGGCTGTAAATACTTCGTCAGAGCTCTTAGATTGAAGGAGTTGTTTTTTCTTCCTGCTTTGCTCAGATGTCCACGGTGAACGCAAGCTAAATGTTGTCAAATGCTCACTGCCCATCACTGGATGTGAGGGGCTTACAACTGCATATTGGTGCATTTTTACAAATCCCAGCGTCTGTGCTATCTCAATGTTAGCATTTGCTGACTCTCGTTTTCCATTTGTTTGTTTTTTGGGGGTTTTTTGAGATGGAGTTTCACTCTTGTCACCCAGGCTGGAGTGCAATGGCATGATCTCAGCTCACTACAACCTCCACCTCCCGGTTTCAAGCAATTCTCCTGCCTCAGCCTCCTGAGTAGCTGGGATTACAGGCATGCGCCACCACACCTGGCTAATTTTGTATTATTATTTTTTTTTTTCGGAGATGGAGTCTTGGTCTGTCACCCAGGCTGGAATGGTACAATCTCGGCTCACTGCAACCTCCACCTCCCGGGTTCAAGAGATTCTCCTGCCTCAGCCTCCCAAGTAGCTGGGATTACAGGTGCCTGACACCATGCCCAGCTAATTTTGGTATTTTTAATAGAGATGGGATTTTGCCATGTTGGTCAGGCTGGTCTCAAACTCCCAACTTCAGGTGATCTGCCTGCCTCAGCCTCCCAAAGTGCTGGGATTACAGGCATGAGCCACCACGACCAGCCTCATTTTCCATTTAAATTGAGATTTTCCTGGTTCACTTATGCCAAGTAATTGTGGATCTTAACCTGTGGGCAGCAAGCCATCCAGGTGCCAAGGTGAGAGACGGAGGGCACGAGCTGCGCCAGTCTGATATAATACATAGAATAAGAACAGTTACACTAGATATACATCATAGGTACGATTATACATGAATATCATTAATCATTAGTTTGTAGCAATTACTCTTTATTCCAATATTATAATAATCCTCGCTCTACAATCACAGCCTAGGAAAAGCCAGGTCATATAGAGACAGGAGCTGAGGGGACATAGTGAGAAGTGCCTTCTGTTATGCCCGGGCAGGGCCACCAGAGGGCTCCTTGGTCTAGAAGTGACGCCAGCGTCTGGGAAGATGCCCGTTGCCAAGCAGACCATGGTCTAGCAATAGCGTCAGTGTCAAGGAAAAACACCTGTTCCTTAGCAGACTGGGAAAGGGAATCTCCCTTTCCTTTCCTTGGAGGAGTTCAGAGAAGACCCTACCCCTCCACCTCTCGTGGGAGGCCTGACATTGGTCAGACCCGCCCACAGTTATCCGGAGGCCTAACCGTCTCCCTGTGATGCTGTGCTTTAGTGGTCACGCTCCTGGTCCACCTTCATGTTCCATCCTGTACACGTGGCTCCGCCTTTTAGATAACAGTAGTAAATTAGTGAAAGTACTAAAAGTCTCTGATATGCAGAAATAATGACATAAGCTGTTTCTCTCTGCCTCTCTCTCTGCCTTGGCTGCCAGGCAGGGAAGGGCCCCCTGTCCAGTGGACACGTGACCCACATGACCTTACCTATGACTGGAGATGGCTCACACTCCTTACTCTGCCCCTTTGTCTTGTATCCAATAAATATCAGCACAGCCAGGCATTTGGGGCCACTACCGGTCTCCACATCTTGGTGGTAGGGGTCCCCCAGGCCCAGCTGTCTTTTATCTGTCTTGTGTCTTTATTTCTACAATCTCTCGTCTCCGCTCACAGGGAGAAAAATCCACCGACCCTGTGGGGCTGGACCCTACAATCCTAAAGTCCAGGGTTTTATTATTTTTTTTATTTATTTATTTTTGAGACGGAGTCTTGCTCTGTCGCCCAGGCTGGAGGGCAGCGGCGCGATCTCGGTTCACTGCAAGCTTTGCCTCCTGGGTTCGCACCATTTTCCTGCCTCAGCCTCCCAAATATCTGGGACTACAGGCGCCCGCCACCATGCCCGGCTAATTTTTTTGTATTTTTTTAGTAGAGATGGGGTTTCACCGTGTTAGCCAGGATGGTCTCGATCTTCTGACCTCATGAGCTGCCCGCTTTGGCCTCTCAAAATGCTGGGATTACAGGCTTGAGCCACCGCGCCCGGCCTCGTTTTCCATTTGAGATTTTCCTGGTTCACTTATGCCAAGTAATTTTGGATTTTGTCCTGAAGTCCAGGGTTTTATTCTTTTTAGAGATGGGGTCTCTCTCTGTCCCCCAGGCTGGAGAGCAGTGGTGCGATCGTAATTCATTGCAGCTTCGAGCTCCTGGGCTCCAGTGACCCTCCCGCCTCAGCTTCCCGAGTGGTTGGAACCACAGCGCCTGGCTCTTTGACGAATACACACTCCTTGGTTTGCTGTTTGCCTTTGGTTAAAATCCAAAGAACGGAAAGGGTTGTTTCTGACTTTTGTTCAGATTTACAGGTACATTCTGGGGAGAGGGTTTGTTGACCTCCTCACCCCTCTACTCTAGAAATCTCTACTATATTTTATTATGAAATTCAATCTTCCATCCATTATACATACTGGACGCCTGCCTCCTGCAGGGCTGGCTCTGTCTCAACCACCGGGACCCAGGGTGAACAAATAGGCCACCTTCTCCTACAGTGCTTGTGTAATCACCAAGCCAATGTCCTGAGTTTACTTCCAATAGTGAAAAGTGCAGGGATTAATATGGAACTGTCACTGAGCACCTGCCCTGTGCCAGATACCAGTCCAAGCATCTGCAGGAAGCATCTTACCTTCAAGGTGGCCCCAGGAGTTAGCTATGCCCATCCCACAGGCAGGGACATTGAGGAACAGGGAGCCTCAGCCGCTGCCCCCCGGACTCCACCTGCCGCATCAGGTGCTGCCGGCATAGCAGGCCTTCATCAAATATTAGTCAGCACTTCTGTTCGCTTCTGCACATGGAGACACCAGCTAAAAGGCACCAGCCAGAGGGCTGGACAGCAGCTGCCACCCGGGATGAAGATGGGCAGAGCTGGACCACTGGGGCCGTGGTCCAAACACACCACTCTCCCTCCAGGGGCCGACGAAGGAGCTCGGGGGGTCCAACCCTGGCTCTGGCTTTGGCAGAACTCTCGCCTCACCCCCAGACACCTGTGGGAGGAGCACAGTGCAGGTGGCGACGGCTCCCACGGGCCGAGCAAGGCTGTGAGCCTCCGAGCTAGGGGCCTCTCCCATCTAGTCCTCCCCACACACTGGTTGACAAGGTGCCTCCATCATCCCGTCCACAAGGAAGGAGACAGTGGCTACAGAGTAGCAGGCAGCCCTTATGAGTAGGACTGGATGCCTTATCCCTCTCGCCCTGCGGGAAGCCTGTGGCCGTCCTCCCCAGCTGACTGTCCCCATCAATCTCATCCCTGCCAATGATCACATCCTGGCAGCAACTGAGGCTGGACCAGCCTCCTGTAGCCTGTGTACAAGGCATCTTCCGTCCGCTTAGTTTTTCTGTACCCATTTCCTGCAGCTGGGGAGGCTCAGGTGCAGTGTCTCTCCCTCCTCCTACTTCCTGAACCAGCGCCCATCTGTGAAGACCTGGGACCTCCCCAAAGCCCCCAGACACACCAAGGGCACCACCGAACCCCTCAGAGCCAGGGGAGAGGAGAGCTGGCGTTTCCTGAGCTCACCTTTCCTGGTGGCACGGGTCCCCTCTGTCTGCAGCCACTGTCATGGGAAAAGCCAGGCTCAGCCACTGGCAAGAGCAGGCAGCCTGAGAGAGGTGGACGTGGGTCCAAGTCCAGGCCACGCGGCTCCCAGCAAGAGCCACGGCCAGCGGCCAGTTGGCAGGTCCTCCACCTGACAAGGATGTGGGCCAGCGTCGTCTGCCGCCTCCACTGCACCTCAGAGGAGACAAGATCCAGGGGGCAGCCCCTGAGGGCATCCCGCGGGTCCTCACAGAGGCTGGGGATCCCAACGGGCCCGGCAGCTTTCTCCCACCTTGGCCAGGATGCCCCGGGACCACCATGCAGCGTCTCTGAGGCTTACTGTGCAGAGGGGCTCACAGAGCCCCCACTGGCCCGGCTTATTAAATGCAGTTTTCACCTTTTCCCTTTAAAGGAAAATGAAAATCCCTCCTTTCCGACTCTGTGACTGATGTTGGTTGGTGAGGTTGAGAATGAGGTGAGCTGGGTCAGGCCGGCCTAGAGGGAAGCGGGAGACCCGAGAAGGCCTTGCTGTCTGGCGTGATCGGCAGATGGCCCCATGGCTCCTTCAGGGTGGGCTTGGGCCACAGACACCTCACCAGGGTCTCCCGTCCCTGGGCAGCCAAATCTGGGTCCAAGCAAGCCACAAAGGCTATGCCAGCCGAGCCCAACGCAGGCCACCCCAATAGTCCCTGCCCGGCCCTGCACCCTCCCCACCCCTTCCCAGGCGCTGATCCCCAGTACTCACCCTGCACCCCAAACCCCGTCTCAGTGTCTGCCCCTGAGGACTGGCCTGGTACAGGTCTAACAGGACAGAGCCCCTGTCAGGAGGTGACCACAATGCGGCCGACTGAGTACCTTGCTCCCTGCAGGGTCCCAGACCTGGCCTGGCACAGGCTGACCCCAGCGCACAGCTAGCCTTGCCCTCGGCTAGAGACAGGCCGTAGCCTGTGACCCTGCCTGGTGTCCCTGCCCAGCATAGGCCTGCCCCCAGTGAGACAAGGTGTTGGCGTCCGGAGCTGGCCGTGGGAGGCTCTGCTGGCCAGAGCCGCAGGGTCAGTGTGAATGGAGCCCCATCTAATCCAACAGCACCAAACGGCTCCCCACTAACTGCCAATGATTGGCTCTTGAAGATAGAACAGCAGGTCTCCCAGCCCCCACTCGAGGGAGTTGCAACTCCAACCTGAGAGAGGGGCGTCCTGAGTGTCCCCCTAGTCTCACAGCCCCTCGGCAGCCCTGGCCCTCTTCTGCGATGGTCGAGGTGCCTCCATCCTTAGGGTGGGCACAGCTCTGTGTCGGGGATGGGAGTTCTGTGGCTTCTTGAAGGCCAGAGGGGTGGGTCTCAGGACCCCAAGCAAAGCGGTGAGTTAGCACTCTGCCTGGCCCCTTTCCCTTTACTGCCCCCTGACAGCTGCCCAGGCCTGAGCCAGCCTGGGGAGGCCACAGGGAGGAACAGAGCCTCAGTCCCACTGGGGAGCAGATGCTGTCCGGGCAGAACCTGGCTCCAGCCTCCCCAAACCCACCACTACCACAGCTCCTTCAGGCCCCGAGGACTTCACACACGCTGGCCCTGCCGCCCGGAGCCCCTCGATGCTCTAGTGCTCACACTGCATTTACCCAGCCTTAGTTCCTGAGCTGCCACGGGCAAGGGTGGGGCCCCCTGGCTACCCCATCTCTGCCCACAGGTACTGTGCCCGGTCTAGACAAGGCCAAAAGCAGCCCCCAGCCCGACCAGGAGAGGTCTCCGGACCCCTGTGAGGGCCCTAAGCCAGCCCCCTTCTCCAGGGAACTCCTCAAGGCCCAGCCCTCTGTGCTCAGAGCCCCCATGGGATGGGTCAGCCACAGGAGATCTGACCCGGCGGTCCCACTCCCTTTGCCCACACTGGGGCAGTGCTGCTCCGAGAGTCCTGGCCAGGACCCCAAGGTTTGGCACCAGCCCTCACCCCACCCAGCTGTACCCCAGCTCAGGTAACCACCATGCCCTGGGTTCAGCAGGGGCAGATCACAGCTTCAGAGATGGGGTGTCCTGCTTCCCAGGCCCCATCCCCACTTCCTGGGCTTTAAGTGTCCTGGGCTTTAAGTGTCTCCCAGCCCCTGCCCACGCCGATGCACTGTCTTGACCCTGAAGGCGCAGTCAGTTTGAGGCCTATGTGAGGGGCTGTCTGGTACCCGTGGCCCACACGGATGCAGGAGGCTGTGGTGGGCAAGCCCTGGGCTGTGGGTCCTTGGGCCGGCAGTGCAAGCCTCCAGAGACAAGCCCAGGTCTTGCCAGAAACTTCCACCCTCCCAGTGTCAACCCGACTGACCCATCTGCCTCATAAGTGACCCCTCGGGGCTGCACACCTCTCCCATTGCAGGTCCTGGCACTGCTCCCCAGCACAGAGCTCCCCATCCCAGGTGGGGCTCGGGCGGTTCCCTGCCCTCCTTCCGCAGCCTTCCGCAGACCTCAGCTGAAACCTGAACCCCCCTCCCCTCCCATGCCCTGCAGCCTCTGCAGTGCTCCCCGCGGGAAGGCCGTTCTCCCTGGTTCACCGTTCCCTGCGCTTGGCTTGGCCATGAGCACATAGTAGGTGCTTAACACACTCGTGCAATGAACACACACAGCGGCGCAGGGCCCAGGACAGCGCCTTCCCCACGTGCTCGGGAACACAAGGGCGTCCCTCCAAGTCTTGCTCAGGGGCCTCCCAGGGTCCCTGCCCAGCTCTGGGTCCTCACTGAGCACCTGGCGAGGGCAGAGTCCTACATCCGTTGGCCTCGATCTCCGGAACACAGGCACACGGCCGTCTCAGCCAGCAACGAGAGCCACGAAACAAATCCACCCAGGCTGACTCCCGAAGCCCTCGGACTGCGCCGCCCCACGGACCTCCCGGACCCTCTCTGCGACGGGGAAGACACCGCCCAGCCAGGACCAGGTGTGTAAAGAAACGGGACTTCCGTAGGGGCAGGCCGACTTCCCCTGCGGGGCCGAGGGAGGTGTGGGGAGGATTCAGCTGGGGGGGGGGGGCAGAGGAGGGACGGACGCCTTTCTACCTGGGAAGGGAAAGCGCGCCCCCTCCTGATTGACAGTTGACAGCAGGGCATGGCGGACCGTCCCCAGGGCCCTGCCAGGAACGCTCTGGGTTCCCCAAACATGGGGTCTCTGAGCAGCGGGGCCCAGCCTCTGCCTCCAGCGACTGGAGACTCACCTCACCCACCCAAATCCGCCGCGCTCTCCGTCTGGGCCCCGCCTCCCACTGCCCCTCCATCCGCACACCCTTTCACCGCCCGCTGCGGGCAGCAGGCGCAGCCTGGGGCTGGGGAAGCAGGTTCCGGAGCTGCCAGAGTTGCGAGGCGGGCTCGGGAGGGATCCAGGTTCCTCTGGCTGCGAAGTCCCTGGAGGCCGGGCCGGGGAGCTCCGCGCGCACAGCACTCTTTGGCCCGCCCGGCGCCCCCGTTGCCTCCACAGGGGCTGAAGAGGACGGGGCGGGCTGGACCAGGCTGGGCTCCGAGACGGGTCCGAGACGGGTCGCAGACGGGGGCCTGGGCCCGGGAGAAGGGCGGGGGCCGGACTCCTGGACCCGGAGTCTTTTGACCCCTGCAGACCCAGGCCCAGCCGGGCCGCCTTAAGAGAACGAACGCCACGGTGCTGGGCTCAGCTCACGCCAGACGGCAAGAGTCGCACCAAGGAGGAAGTTGAGGGCCGGGCCCCAGCGGGGCCCGGGGAGGGGGCGGGGCCGAGCGGGGCCCGGGGAGGGGGCGGGGCCGAGTGGGGGCCCGGGGAGGGGGCGGGGCTTCTCCGGGACGCGGGGAGGGGGCGGGGCCGAGTGGGACCCGGGGAGGAGCCGGTGCGCCCGCCCTCCGTGACGCGCCGCGGCCCCCCCCCCGCTCATATAAGTGGGCGCGTCCGCGCGTGCGCACCCCGCGCGCGCGTCTCTGTCGTGGCGCGGTGTCCCGCGGTCTCCCCTGCAAATGGGCTCCGTGGCTTAGCGTCCCCGTCCCCGCCACCCGTGATCGTGCGCCGAGGCCCGCGAGGGGTTGCCGCCCAGGTGAGGGGCGCGGCGCGCGGGCGGGACGAGCAGGCCGGAGGAGCTGGGGGCGCTGGGCAGGGCCGGGGCTCCTCTCCTCTCCCCCTAGCAAGCACTGGGCGCGGGATCCCGGGCGGGCTCTTCCCGGGTCGGGCGGGTTGGGACGGCGCCTACCAGGTTCCTGGCGTCCGGGCCGGTGCCCTGCGCACAAAGCGCCTTTGTTCCACTCTCGGCCGGTTCGGGCTGGTTGGAGCCGCCCGCGCCCCGCGCAGCGAAGGCGGTCCCGGGAGCTGGGGAGCCCCGCCTCGGTAAAGAACCCAGCGTGGCGGCTCCACCCGCTGGGGAGCGCCCTTCCTGAGGGAATCCCGCTGATCCGAGGGGCTCCCCGACCCCAATGCGCAGGTCCCACCAGCCAGCAAGCCAGAGCATGGCGGCCATCCCCTCCAGCGGCTCGCTCGTGGCCACCCACGACTACTACCGGCGTGAGTAGCCTCTGCCCCCCGCCCACGTAGATGCTCTGTTAGCGCCAGTGCCGCCCCCGTGCAGCCTGCGGAACCAGCGCTCGGCCTGAAGGCCGGTGGGCTGGGGGGGGCTCTGTGCCCCGCGTTGCTGACGGGACCTCTCCTCTCCAGGCCGCCTGGGTTCCACTTCCAGCAACAGCTCCTGCGGCAGTACCGAGTGCCCCGGGGAAGCCATTCCCCACCCCCCAGGTGAGTGCAGGACCGCTCCTCTCTCCCTCCGCCCCTGCCCCCAGGAGCTGGCAGCATCAAGACCCCACTTTGCTTCTCTCAGGTCTCCCCAAGGCTGACCCGGGTCACTGGTGGGCCAGCTTCTTTTTCGGGAAGTCCACCCTCCCGTTCATGGCCACGGTGTTGGAGTCCGCAGAGCACCCGGAACCCCCCCAGGCCTCCAGCAGCATGACCACCGGTGGCCTGGCTCGGGACGCCCCGAGGAAGCAGCCCGGCGGTCAGTCCAGCACAGCCAGCGCTGGACCCCCGTCCTGACCTGAGCGGTTACCACCAGCCCGAGGCCAGCGGAGGCGCCAGTCCACCAGAGCCCTTCCCCGCTCCCCGCCCCCCGTCCCCTCCCCACCTCCCACTCCCCACCCTGTAGACCAGGCGGCTGCAGCAAGCAGACCTTCGCATCAACACAGCAGACACCAAAAAGGAGTTAGGGCCCCGCTCTCTACCGCCCGGCCCTGGCACTCGCTAGCTTTCCTGACATCTGGAACTGTGCACCTGGCACCAAGCGGAAAATAAACTCCAAGCAGCCAGTACCCGATGGTGTGTTCCTGAACTGTGCGGCCCGAGGTTCCGTTTGAGTGTGAGAAATGGCTGAATCCCTCCTGACCTCACTCCCTGATGGGGGCTGGCCCTGCTCCCAGGCCTTCCTGGGCCTCCTCACTCTGTGAGGCCGCTGCTGGGACTGAGAAGGACGGGATTCGCCGCTGCTTCCGGGGACCCTTGGACAAGCAGGCTCCAGGGCAGCCACTGAGGTGGGCCCCTGTGTCACCTTCAGCCGGGGGGAAGGGAGCAGGGAGGGCTGGTCCTCTGAGGGATTCGGGCCCCTTACCCGGAGCTGCGGGGGGAGTAGCCCCTGGCTGTGAGCTGGAAAACCCTCCTCACTCTGGAGGGACCTGCTGGTGGGGTTTGGGCAGCTTCAGGGCTGTCTCCCAAGGGCCTCCCATTGGGGTGTTGCCCCAAGACA